CACATCATTATTAATTATTAATAATTAATTAATTTACATTATACGCGATTAATAAATTAATTAATATTAAATAATAATATTAATTAATTTTTTTGGGTATCAAAAAGAATGGGATCAACCCCTAAGCCCAAGTCCAGCACTTGATCGGACCAAACCGAGTCAAGTCGTGCCGGCCGGGCAAACAACAGTGACGACACGCGTGTGTTATATTTCATGGTAGTGTGTTCTCACCCAACCACAAAATTGGATACTCCTTGGGGCCCAACTCAATTTGTCCACTTGGAATATATAAACACTACTAAAGTGTACTCTCCTTCCTATGTGTGACTTTAATGAACCTTTTTAAATTCACTAACAAACTTGTGCTCATTTATTGCGAACTTAATACCATTAACTTCTTCCAAGTCCCCACTCCAAGTTATCATCTCTCCCAATATTCCAACAATCTCCCAATTGAATTTAAAAGGTGATTTTAGAATAAACGTCAAACGTTTCTAAGATTGTGCATAAGCAAAGGTGTCTACGACTTGAACCTCTGCGTAGTACGTAGGATTCTGATTCAACAAGAGTGACACCTTTGTCTTTAACTCTATCTCAGACATCAAACTCCCACACAACCTTTTCTTAAGGTGTATTCTAATAGCCCATACTTTAATGACCCTGCACGTGTATCCCAGTTTAGTGAAGGCTCTAGGAATTCTGCCTCGCAATTTCAGGGTTCATGCTTCACTAGCATAATCATCTCATATTGCTCACAACTTGTTATTACCCATTGAACATATTTATTGGGATCTCCAGTCATCTAGGTCGGGTTACCATCACGAGCAACTCATTTTTTTATAAGCATTAGTCCCATATTCTTATATGTATTATGAACTTTCTCTCTAGCTAAAGGATCTACTAATTTTTATCGGTGCGTACATGATCCAATCTTATAGTTCCTTTAGAGATGCAGTCTTTGACGATTATTGGATTTATTTTTATTTGACGTCTTTTACCATTATAATAATGATTCTCAATTTTTGCAATAGCCGCGAGACTATCACGGTAGATCAACATAGTTAGCATAGATTTTCCCATAAAGGGATCTCTGCTAGCAGGCATCTTAACCAACTTGGTTTTCTAACTAGGTGTGGCTAGCGTTATCATCTCATCCACCTCATGGCCACCTCCACGGCAAAGGCCTAGTTGGACATCGTGTGCACAAACTGCTTCTTTTCTCCATTTTCATCCTATTCGCTATGTTTCTTCGTGTTCGGTCCTCACTGGGTTATGTACCTGAAATATAGACAAAGTACCAGAATAATACTAGAAATGAAACCAAAACGATAATAAAACATGTGCGAGTCGAGCCAACTATGCAGTGTGTTTTTGTGTTATAATCTATCATCATCGTACCTCTTGCAATAATTTATCTGCTTTCAAGAATTGGAAGGGGTCTTAACAAGGATCAATTTTTAAGGATCTGGAATTTTTATTGCCACTATGCGCGAAAAGGATTCAACAATTTGATTTTATCTATGATCAGAAAAGATCCCATTTAAGGATCTCGCAATCTGATCGCCTATGTGGGTGGCAAGGATCCCACTTAAGGATCCAGCAATTTGATTACCTTTGTGTGTGGCAAGAATTCTACTTTAGGATCCAAAAATTTAATCGTCTTCGTGGACCGCAAGTATTTCAATTAAGGATCCAACAATTTGATCGCCTCTATGAGCGACAAGGATCCCACTTATTTGATCCAGCGATTTGATCACCTATATGGGCGGCAAGGATCCCACTTAAGTATCTGAAAATTTGATCACCTTTATGGTAAGGTAGGATCCCAATTAAGGATCTAGTAATTTGATCGCCTATATGGGTGACAAGGATCCCACTTAAGGATACAACAATTTAATCACCTCTATGATAATCTTCTCCTAAAATTTTAGGCTTCCTCCAAAGAAAAGATAACCAACAAGCATGCATTTTCTATGATAATAAAATGAGGTGTGTCATTAACACCCCCTATGAAAAAGAGCAAAGGGAAAATAGTGTGCCCCATAAAAATAACTTGACTTTTACAATCGACAGAGCTGCAATACTAGCTTATAAATATTGACAACAAAGTACCTAAACAATAATAAAGGAAAGAAAATGACAACTTTGTAGATGTTTCTATAGGGCACTCCCTCTGGTCCTTCAATTTTTTATCTCTTAAATAGCTGGAGAGGGAGCATCCCCATCTTTGCAAATTCCTCCTCGTGACATTAATCTTAAGCCCACTTTCTTAGCTTTCATGCCTGAAGTGCAGACCTTTTCAACTTTAAGCTCCCTACGTAACATTTTTGGAGATCTCATTATCTTCTTGGATGACTCTCACCCTCCCATTAGGGATTAGATATTTCATACATAAATATAAAGTGGAAAATACAGTGCCCAGGTGGTTAAAATTTGGTCGCCTAATTTTATTGCATGAAAAAGGGGGCATCAATAACCAAATACATGACCTTTATTTCTTTGGCTTGATCCTGCTCTCCAAAAGTGATGTTCAAGGTGATGTATTATTTTACTTGTACATGTTTTCTAGAGAATACAAACAACGATCCTTTGAAAGGTTTCAAGTTTTTTGGGTTGAGGCGAAGTCTTTCAAATGTCTCCCAATACATAATGTCTAAAGAACTCCCTTGGTCAACTAGAACTCTATTAATCAGTCATTCATCGCACTTGATTGTAATGATAATCAAGTTATCATTGTGAGAATGGATGTCAGTTGTATCATTCTCAGAGAAGGAAATCATGGCTTCTAATGCTTTGGGCTTCAACTTCGCTCTCAACGTCTATGAGGTCTTCTATATTCAAGATTAGACGAGTGTACCTTTAACGAGCAGAGCTTGTCTCATAACCCTCGACAAATCCTCATGCTATGGTGTTGATCGTGTGGCGCACAACTTTGCTACCCTCTCAATGGGATACTTCTTTCACTTTGTTGGGCCTAGGGCTTCCTACGTCATCTTGCTCTCGCGAGTTAGACGTATTTGATGCATGGGAAGAGTCTCCCTTCACAGATTTCTTGAGGTGCCCCTCCTGGATTAGCCTATCAATTTTCTTCTTGAACTGGTAACAATTTCCTATGACGGCTAGCGGAGAACTGATGCACAAGCTTCTTTACCAGCTCCTTATAGTTATCGATGGTGTCACAGCGATCCCAAAAGTGTTGGATAGAAACTTACACTTCAGGGAGTCAAACGCTCCTATGATGATAATTTGTTGCTAAATGGAGGCGACATGCTTGTAAGGATCGTTGCGCCCATCAAGTTTGGCCAGGGAGGAAGGTTTAAATCCCTCTAGGACAAGCGCCCCCCATATCTGGCATGAGAATGGCTAGGGGTCCAACAATTTCATCTCCTCCGAAGGATTTGACTCATGTTGGCGTTGTCTAATGTTTTAGACATTATCCTTTAATGTCTAGTTATGGCGATGTAATTTCTCCATGGCGACAGGTATCTCTGCCAAAGCATCAGCACCACCGCTACAACCGGTACCTTTTAACGTAGGGGATGAAGCTCTCTTGTTAAACATGGAAGAAGATATCTATGTGTAAGAGCGAAGGGTGACATTGAGTTGGGTGATGGTGATGAAAAAAAAGGTGATTCAAGTGAGTTTTCAAGTTACTTATTAGAAGAGTAGTTCAAGATTACTTCATATACCTTAGCCCATGATACATTACATCAAAACTCTTGTATATTTAAGCAATTGTAAACTTAGATCCCCATGCATATATGTGTAGAAGAATGTTTTCATGGTGACATAAACTCTGCATGCATGAAACTTTCACACATAAGCTCCTTTAAGTATGAGAGAGTCAGGGCTTGTAAAATCAACTCATTAATACACAATTCTAAATGAAGTTCACTCATTTTATCATGGTATCAAAGGCTGGTTTATCCATCATGTCATAATGCATCCTTGCCGTGACACGATGTACAGACATATATATTTTTATCTTATGTTAAACAGTCTGAAGTTTGCAAACTTGAATGTAAAGGTGGTTTGAAAGTCAGAGACCTTCGCTTGCTTCACTTGGCTCATTTAGTCAAATGAAACAACATATAGATGATTTAATAAAGGAAATAGCAATGAATTATCCTAACAAATAAATTTTGATTTATAAATTAAATTTTGAGTTTTTTTTTGAGAAACTTTTTATAACGTTTTAACTATATCTGTAAAATAATCATTTAAAAATACACATTAGTTTAACAATAGAAACTAAAATTAAGTGTATAATTATTTTGTATGGACTAAAATACGCTATTTTTTTTATTGAGACCAAAAACAAAATTTAATATTTTATAAAAAAAAAACATATTTAACCTTTAAATAAATATAACTGTTTTTGGACCTACACTTATATTTAACTATCTACTCTCTCTTCCCCACATTAATGTAAGGAAATACTACCTATAGGAAATGTAAATAAAAAAACTTGCAGCTTCCTCATTTTGATGTATACTGAATTACAGTACTACTACTGCTATGTCTGAAATGCTATGAAATGACCCTAACTAGTTGTACTTATTTTGTCACAGTAGTAAATTAATTTATTAAGTGTATCTAGTAACTTTGATAAATGACATTAATTTGTTCAGTCATTTAGTCACTGTATAAAGTACTACCAATTGAGCAATATTGGCCAGAAGTTGCAGTAAAAGTATATATCCATGTTTGTCTGTAAATACGATGAAAAATAAATTTTTGACTCAGTCATTTAAAATTAAACTCTGGCTACATTTGCGGCTAGAAATTACATGTACTTGAAGTTAGATGTTAGATGAATGTTTTCACTTCATTCATCTTCATTTGGCGGTTTGCTTTTAATCATTTTGGAGGTGGTAGAACAATACATTTATGATTGTCTCTTATTTACTATGTTTATTTATACCCTACAAATTTTCATATTCCATACAATCCCATCAAACTCAGAATCTCTTACAATTAATAACACTTTTGCATTTGTAATGGCTACTTCTTTTGTCATTTTTTTTTGTGTAATAATAAGCTTAGTTGCTTCTGTTTCTGCTCAACAACCACGAGCTTTCTTCGTTTTCGGAGATTCTCTTGTTGACAGCGGTAACAATGATTTTCTTGCTACCACGGCCCGAGCTGACGCTTATCCATATGGCATTGATTATCCAACTCACAGGCCTACCGGACGTTTCTCTAACGGCTTAAACATCCCAGACCTAATCAGTACGACCGAGTTTACCACTATAACAATCTAGCTAATTTTAGTTTTTGTTTTCTATATTTTCTAATAAATTATCAACATGTTTTCGATTAATCATATTTGTTTGTACTATCTGTGTAAATATATGCATGTCACATGTCACATGTCACATGTGAAGGACATAATTAATGCGTAAGTATTTTGTTAATGATAGGTTTGGAGCTTGGCTTAGAACCAACACTTCCATATTTGAGTCCTCTACTAGTTGGAGAGAAGCTTCTTATTGGTGCCAATTTTGCATCTGCTGGAATTGGAATTCTCAATGATACCGGATTCCAGTTTGTAAGTGTCACATCATTAAACTTTACTTTTAAAAAAAGAGTAACATTATATAGAAATATTATTAATTCGAATTTTTTTGCAGTTGCATATAATAAGAATCTACAAACAACTAAAGCTATTTCAAGTGTATCAGAAAAGAGTAAGTGCACACATTGGTTCCGAGGGAGCAAGAAACTTGGTCAACAGAGCACTTGTACTAATCACTCTTGGTGGCAATGATTTTGTTAACAATTACTATTTGGTCCCTTATTCCGCAAGATCTCGTCAATTTTCTCTCCCAGATTATGTTAGATATCTCATTTCTGAATACCGCAAAGTTCTTCGGGTATAGTTACATTATTCTTCTTCATTCTCTCCCTACTCAAGTTACATTATTCTACATAAATAAAATCGTATGCAAGTAATGTACATGTTTTGTGACACATGCAGAAACTTTATGATTTGGGAGCACGTAGGGTTCTTGTGACAGGAACGGGACCAATGGGGTGTGCACCAGCTGAATTAGCCATGAGAAGTAGAAACGGTGATTGCGACGTGGAATTGCAAAGAGCTGCATCATTATACAATCCTCAACTTGTTGATATGATCAGAGGACTTAACCAAGAAATTGGCTCTGATGTCTTTGTTGCAGCAGATGCATATAGAATGCATATGGATTTCATTTCCAACCCTCAAGCTTATGGTATGTGAATGTGACGTCACATATATAAATTTATTGAAAGCAACAATAGTTTCTATAAGATGAAAATAATATAACTATCTTTTTTATGTATTGAATTGTGCTCGACAGGATTTACAACATCAAAAGTAGCATGTTGTGGACAAGGGCCATACAATGGAATTGGGCTTTGCACACCAGCTTCAAATTTGTGTCCAAACAGAGACCTTAACGCATTTTGGGATGCATTTCATCCGTCAGAGAAGGCTAGTAAAATCATAGTCCAACAGATTCTTAGGGGAAGCACTCAGTACATGTACCCTATGAATCTCTCCACCATCATGGCCTTAGATTCCATGACTTGATCAATCATGCATCCACACCATTTCTAAGAAAGTGTGTCAATTAGTTACAAGAGGTTATCGAGTATCATTTGTTGTCCAGTTTAGTTTCTTAAGTTATTGATTGGAGTCGAAAAATGTTTTCGTGTAACGACAAATAATGCAGCTAGTTATAAAGCAGCTAGAAGATTGATGTATGAAAAATAGTAACAATTTATTGGTTTTCTTGTGTTACAATCATCAGCATAATATTCTTAAAGCAACCCTGAGAAAAAATCTCATGAATTCTCAAAGTTTCAAAATTTTACTTATATTTCGCACACATAGTAACAACAACAACATAGTCTAAACAATCAATATATGATACAACATAATATTATGCTGGAAACATTAATTGGAATAAGGGATAATTAGGTCTTTGAATCCAAAAGCATGATGGTACTGAGATTCATTGGATGCATGTATTCACTGGATCCTACCATGAACCTGTCTACAATCAGTCTGTTTGCTCTGTCACTTGGATGGAAAGGATCCCAAAATACATATGCATCTCTGTTTGGACATAGGTTTGATGCTGGAGTACATAGTCCAATCCCATTGTAGGGTCCTTGACCACAACATGCAACTTTTGATGTGGCAAATCCTGCATATAAAACAAGGTAATTAATGATATCAAATTTATTATATTTGTCTTAATGCTACTATATAAACTATCATTAAGAAAAATTTGAGAAGATTTTCCTTTAAATACCATATCTAGGTTAAATACCATAGATTTGAATTTGGCGTCCAATATACCATATCTAATATAGCAAACGGATAATGTGGAATTAGGATTATTTGAAGTCACGATTTTCCACATTCACATAGTCAGCACATAGTGACAATTGAATCAAGACCGGGCTATTTGAATTTCAAGCTTAGTATTTTATATTTTTTACCGATTCAAATTTTCTTCGAAAATCTCGATTGTCGGATCTCGATTCAATTGTCAACAATGGACACACTACGTGGAATCGACGATGGAAATGAATCCAAATTTGATGATGTGCAAGTACATAATGGTAAATGGTGAATAATAATAGCACATCTAATGTGGGAGGATAGTAGTTGGCCATCTCAACAATGTTACAAAGTCTTAAATATTTTCTTAAAATCAATACCAAACTCATACTATGTATTGATAACTAGTTATAAATCTTCTACTTGAATTTTAGCACTCTCACAAAAATGTAGTAGCTAGATAAAAATATAAGCACATGTCTTCACTATTTCTCTAATAATGTAAAAATTTAAAAAGTATCCCCACACACAAGTTGGCCAAATAACATACCTATAAATATTGCAACCAACACAGATCTTTCCCTTTATTCATCTTAATGAACAATTCAATAAAAGTTATAAATAATAACTTTGTAAAATAAAGGGTCCCAATATGCATGTGTCTCTATTAAATATGTTCACATGAAAGTTTTTTAAAATTTATTCAACAATCACATAACCTGAGTTGTTCGACGAAATAAAAATAAAAAATAAAAAATTAAATTTACTTATAACAGCGATCAGAGAGATATTTAATATACCGTATGCTTGAGGATTGCCAACGAAATCCATATTCATTGCGAAGGCATTTGCAGAAATAAAGACATCAGCACCAATTTCAGAGTTGAGTTGAGATAATAACTGAGCAAGTTGTGGATTGAACAAGTTAGCAGCTTCCTGAAGTTCTCCATAACATTCACCATTTCTGCTATGCTGTGCTAGCTCTGCTGGTGCACAGCCTATAGGACCAGTACCAGTTACTAAAACTCTTCTTGCTCCTAAATTGTAAAGGTTCTGCATACAATTATTGGTAAACAAGAAAGAAACAATTGCGTAAGAGATTGACCCCATAATGCATTAAATTTGCATTTATATGTCTAGATTTATTCACTGACATCTAATAGGGAGAATAGTCAATGGCTACAGAAACCCATCATGTCTGTCACCATAACTCATGCACATAATTGTATGGATTTAATATGCACAGAAAACATTGAAAAATATTACCAAAAAAAAAAAAGAAAACATTGAAAAATAAATTATTTTTAAATATATATGAGTCATTTTTTTGTGATTTGACGGAATAAACATTGTTCATTAGTCGGTACTGTCAATGCATTTTTTTATTTTCTCAAAGTTTAATCAGTTGTGCACTAAAACTTGTCTGAACTATTGTGTATAGATATATCCCTGCAAAAACAATATTATGTATAAAATTTGTATATACTTTTTCTTACATAGTTGCATACCCTTTTTTGATTCTCATTCAGATAATGTTAATGGGTATGTGTACAATTTTTTTGTAGGACCTAGTTTTCCCCTGCCTATAAGTTGAATAGTTATTATGCTATGCACTCATAAATGTTATAGGTACATGTCAATTTTTGCACTATCATTTTACACTCAAGTTAAAAAGGGTAAACAATTGGTTTTCACTTTAGAAGGTAAATATATACTACTATTTTTATATATTCTTTCTGTTATTTTACACAAATAATTGTTTTTAGATTATTATTATTTTTCTAAAAAATTGTCAATAAGTTTTTTATATTAATAATTCCATCGCGAGAGATTATTATTGAACCAACCATTTACACTCATTTAAATAACACATATAGTTGAAGTACCTCACCAACTTCATTTTCTTTTTATTTTATGAATAAATAAAATAAGGTTATATTTATAAAAATATTAATCTAAATATTTAATGATTTTTTTAAAATTTTATTTAACTAAAAATGGTTCAACCGTAAATCATTAAAAAAAAATTTATAAATATTTTAAGTCCACGTATTTAAATAAATATAAATCATAAAACCTAATAGGTTTATCTCATTCATTATTTAATCAATATATCAAATTACTTATTTAAGTGCTTTTATTTCTAATTTTAGTGTTGCAGACTTTCTTATTCACGAATTTTTGAGTGTTACGTTAGCTATTGAGTTCGCTCATGAGAAAGAATGACGTAATGTGTTGTTGGAATTGGACTCGACAGTGATGGTTAGAGCGTTCATACATCTTTTTTGTGTGTCGTGAAAGTTTAGAAATAAATGAGTTAATTGTATAAATATTATCTCATCTTAAAATTTTATTGTTTCTCATATTTATAGATAAGAAAATAGTTGTGCAGATGTATTGCTAACTTAGGTTAGTCTATATCTGATACTACTTACTTTAACTTTATTCATATATTATTAGAGTTGATTTTGTAAAGAATAGAATTAGATTGCCTTTCTTTAAATTTGCTTGACTTTTTGACTTTGAGAGGGTTTTAGTCAAGTCTCATCTCTTTTTGTGTACTCGTTTTTTATATATCATCCTAATTAAAAAAAAATATTTATTTAAATATCTTCTTCAAACTCTATAAATAGATAGATTTAAAATAGAGTTTTAAATAAATTTTCAAAAAGACTTAGTTCTAAACATAATTCTACGACAACTTACCTGAAGTCTTTGAATATTTTAACCTACAAAATTCTAACTTTGTTTATTCTATTCTCACTACTAAATAATAGTAAAAAAAATACCAAATAAAAGTTATTCCTAATGACAGATTAAGAGAGATATTAATACTAAAAATAACAGCAACGGGAGAAAGAGAAAAAGTATAACATTACCACAAGAATTTTACGATACTCAGAAATGAGGTATACAACATAATCTGGTAGTCGAAATTGGCGCGATCTTGCAGAAAAAGGAATAAGAAAATAATTGTTCACAAAATCATTTCCACCTAAAGTCATCAAAACCAATGCTTCATTCACCAATCTCACTGTTTCCTCTTCTCCAATCAATGCACTCACTCTTTGCTGATACTGCTCAAAATACTGCAATTGTCTTGTGATTCTGATTATATTAAACTGCAAAAACAATTTTCCAAAATTATAACATATGATCTCATTAATTTATATACAAAATTTAACCTATGTAGAAACTTACAAATTGAATTCCGGTATCATTGAGAATTCCAATTCCAGCAGAAGCAAAGTTAGCACCATTTAACAGTGCTTCTCCATTCAGTTCAGGACTCAAATATGGTAATGTCGGTTCTGAACCAATTTTCTCACCTATATACATTATAGATAGTTAATTATATGCAATATATGTATATAAATATAGATCAAGAATTCAAGCTTAAAATATCTATGTAATAAAAGATGAATTATTATATACTGATAAGGTCAGGCATGTTGAGGCCATTAGAGAAACGTCCGGTGGCACGGTGAGTCGGATAATCGATGCCATATGGATAAGCGTCGGCCCGAGCAGTGGTGGCTAAGTAGTTGTTGTTACCATTGTCAACAAGTGAATCACCAAAAACAAAAAATGCTCTAGCTTCAACTTGTGGAACAATAATGTTCCATATTAGTAACATGCAAGAGAGAAAAACTAGTAATGTTTGGTTGTTTAATTGGTCCATGGATTGGTGGTTTTATTTGGTTCCTTACTAGAAGCTATGTGTTTGTGATTTGTGAAGGAGTATGGGAGTGGCTTTATATAGAGGTCATTTGTTGTGATATTTGATGTGTGGAATTTAATGGCTTCTGCTACCACCCCAACAAATAAACAGATATATGCCTATCAATGTTATATTGAATTTAATTGTATTCACTACTTTTGGACAGTGTGTGTTAAATGCACCATGATTTTAAGGCTAAAGATAGATCTGTTTTATTTTTATCTTTTTACTTATCTTTGTTGTTTCATTACAAATATAATACTACCCATTAGTACTAGAGATATCATTAGCTACTCTGCCACTAAGGCCAAGCTAATTACATGATAGATCCAATTGATATATCATCACTTTTAACTAAAAAATTTCGAATAGAAAAAGTCACTTGCATCAGGTGCCATCTATTATTTGGTATGGGATGTTGGTGGAGTTTTTTATTAGGAAGAATTGAATATTAAGTTAAGAGCAACATAAGTGTGAGAGACACCACATATTCACATAAAATTTTAAGGTGATATAGGTGTTTGGATTCTCCCACTTATAAATGATCAACTCTCCACATTTATAATCAATGTAGAACTCCAACTCACTTGAATTTATTATTCTCAATGGTGTTTCGTTGGTTGGAACGATCGAGGTTTTTGCCGCAATTGATTTTAGGTGTGTGAGTTGTTACGGTCTAGGGAAAGCGAAAATAACATTTTTGAGTCTGGTCTCAATTTGACATTATGTGGTATGAACTATTTAGAAAATGCAGGATGATTTTAACATTAGACAAGAACATTTGACGGTTAACCTCTGAATCTCTCGGATTATTAGTCTGGAATGGAAGTGGGTCTATGCTCATACTCCGAGTTTTTATGTTTCTCTGTTAGACTAGGAGTTGGACTCGTTCATGTGGCTAGGTATTTAGGGGTGTAACGGGAGACCAACAGCCATCTTTTCAGTTTGGCATGTGTTCGGATCATTGTCCCTCCATATAGTATTATCAGGAGATCTATTGTGCGTCGGGCTTGAGTTTAGATTAGATATTATGTTGTTTGGTTTTTCGTGTTTGTTTCTGGTTTATTATTAATTTCTCCTTTTTTCCCCATTGGAGGTATGTTTTGCTTTGCTTTGTTGGACTCTCTTCTAGTGTTTGTTGTTTTTTGTTTTAGCACAATGAATGTGCTCTTGGTTTTTCATGTACAAAATTGATTCTCTTGTTTTACTTTTTAACGTATAAGTTATGATTTTCTATTAAAAAAAGTCACTTGCAAACTTTAGCTTCAAGAGACTAGATCACCAATGATTCATGTAATAATCGAACATTCTTATCTTTGGTTTTATCCAGCATTAGAAGCTGGCCTTAGAGCACTTTCAAATTCTCCTAAGTGCCAAACTGTTTTTTTGGAGAGACCTTTGGTAGTAGATTCATAATAAAGATGAAATTTATTAGGTCACTTTAGATTACTTTGTCATTCTAGTTATCAATCTTAGCCTTGTTATTTATATGTTTTGTCTCAATTTCAGTCGTGTCCTTCATTTTGAAGAGTTTGCCTCATTCTAAGATGGTGTTCTTTTCTTGGCAATTGTTACAAAGAATTTGATATATTGAAAGTTATCTAATGTGAAATGATGCCCAAGAAAGCATAGTATGATCGATTTCTTAATTAATAAGTAAACCACAAAGTAAAGGAAAAGATAGAAGAGAAGAATAATTCAAAGTGGTATAAAACTAGATTCTTGATTCAATTACACATTAGGAAACAATGTTTACAACTGAATCTCAACCACACCACTTTCTCCCCCTGATTAGGATTACCAGGGGTTGATGGAAAAGTGATAACTAGTATACTATTTATAGGAACTCTAAACCCTAACTTTCAACTAACATACTTAACAATTGACCCAACAGACTCACCAAATTCAACATGCTAACTTAAACCATATGCTAACATATTTTTGCATGCATGACAAACTTCGACTGCGGCATGCACATCTTCGACTTTTGTTGAACCATGAAGCTATCATTTTCGATGCTAGACCTCGATCCAAATACCACAAATCTCCACCTTCGAACAAACTCTATACTAACAAGGAAACAAACTAGCTTTCATCATGCAACTTTATCAACTGCATACAGTGGGAGAACTTGCTACTTGGCAATAACTTGGTGATCATCTCAGTAGCATTGTCATCAATCAAAACCTTTAGCACTTGGTCTTCTCCGTGCTCGATTATCTCTCTGATGAAATGCATCCTCACGTCGATGTGCTTGGTTCGCTCAGGATAGACTGAATTCTTCGATAGATGTATTGCACTTTGACTATCACATTTAAGATTGATAAATCGACCTTGAAGTTTCAGCTCCTTAGTAAAACGTTCAAGTTTTAATGCTTATTTGACAGCTTCAGTGAGAGTAATATACTCCACTTCAATGGTTGATAAGGAAAAAACCTTCTGAAGTGTTTCTTTTCAACTAATTGATGTGCCAAACATAGTGAACACATATCTAAAAATAGATTTTCTAGAATCCACACAACCTGAATAATCAAAGTCGACAAATCCTTCAATTTCTACTTTGATATCATCATCATAGGCTCCACCATAAATCAAGGTTGTTCTCGGAGACCCATTTATATACCTTAGAATCCAATTTAATGCTTGTCATGTGCCTTTCAAGATTGGTCATAGATACCTGCTCACAAGGCTCACTGAATATGTTATGTCTGACCTCATACAGACCATAACATATATCAAAGAACCTATTATACTAGCATATGAAATGTTATTCATATAGGCTCTTTCGACTTAAGTAATATGACTTTGAGTCATACCCAACTTGAATAGAAGATTAGTCGGTGTTACAACAAGATTTTAATTCGACATATCAAACTTGTCAAAAATATTTAGTAGGTTTGTCTCTTGAGATAAGAGTAATCTTGATTGCTCTGAGGATGTCATCCCAAAAATTCTGGAGGCGGCTCCCATATCCTTCATGTTGAACTCCATATCGAGTTTAGCCTTCACCTTTATAACATCTATGACACTGTTGCTTGCTATGAGGATGTCTGAAGCTAGCAGGATTATACCTGAGTGTATCACACGCTCAAAGATACAACACAGTCACCACCAAATTTTATTTAGTCCTAGAGAACAGGGGAAATATCGATAAAACCCATGGGGGAGAGAAACGGGTAAGGGAGTCGGTTATGCGAGAGGAAGATATTAGCACCCCACGCATCTGTTGTACTCAACGAGAACCATTCTAAAAGCTTCTAGGCTCAGATGAGTTATCTATCTAAATGAAACTCGATAAAGAGGATAGAAAAAGGGACGAAGAAAGAACTCGTGAAGGGTTGGGGACTTCGTGCCTACATATCCTCATAGTACAATAAGGAATTCATAGCTTTGTAGTTCATGGAACATGGGGAGAGAATGAGAAGGTGGCTCAGAAATATTTCACAATCTTGTGTCTATGTATCCTCATAGTGCAATGAGGAACTCAGATCCTATGTAGTTCAGAGAACCAAGACATGGAAAGAAAAGGGTGTGGTTTCAAAACCAAGAGAAAGGGACAAGAGGTAGGAGTAAGAAAAAGTCAAGAAGTAAGGGCAAAGATGCTTTAACCAAGGCCCAGTGGTTAACCCAAGGAAAATGAAAGCTTGGACTCTTCTAAGGGAAAAAGAAGTTATGGAACTGGGGAAGAAAGTAAATGGACCCTGGCTAGGGAAAGAAAAGGAATGGATATTGTTATAGACAAAAATGACTCAGTATATTAACTGAGAGGCGGTGATTAACTGAAGGAAGTTGGTTGACTCCATTAGGGAGAAGAAAAACGTGGTCTTCTAATTGATGGACGAGGATTAACCAACAAAATGAATGTTTTACCAAAAGAAGGTGTTTGACTCTCTAGGGGCTTCAGTATGTTAACTGACAAACAATGGTTAACCAAAGAAGGGAGAGAAGTTGGTATTTTAACCGACAGACGGTGGTTAACCAATGAAAAGGGTGTTGAACCAAGGAAAGGTGTTAACCCAAGAAGAGACTCGGTATGTTAACAAACAGACTGTAGTTAACCGAGGAAAAAGAAAGGTTGGTTTCTTAACTGATGGGCAGTGATTAACAAAGGGAAACATGGTGTTTTAACCAATAGGTAATTAACCCAACAAAGGCTATGTATTTTAACAAACGAAATATGATTGACCGAAAAAGGGGTAGTTGGTATGTTAACTGATAGGAAATGGTTAACCAACGAAAGAGGAGGTTGGAACCAAGAGAAGGTTGCTTACCCAAAAAGAAAGAGATTGGTTTTAACAGACAGACTGTGATCAACCAAAGGATCAGGTGTTAAACAAAGATAAGGTTTTTACCCTAAAAGGAAAGAGATTGGTTTAATATACGGATTCTGATCAACCAAAGGAACTGGTGTTGAACCAGGAGAAGGTTGTTAACCCAAAAAAAAAAAAGATTGGTTTTAACAGACAGACTGTGACAAACCAAAAGAACGGGTGTTGAACCAAGAGAAGGTTCCTAACCCAAAAGCATATTGGCTTTAATAGACGGATTATAATCAACCAAAGGAACGGGTGTTGAACCAAGAGAAGGTTTCTAACCTAAAAAGGAAGAGATTTGAGGCAGGAATAAGTGATCAAGAACGAATCTGCTGAAGATTAAGAGACACTATGGTCTAGAGATAAAGATGACTATTCCAAGCATAGGGTCATTTGTCCCCTACCAAAAATAGTCAGAATGAGGGTAGGAATTCTCCATTGTAATTCCTTCTCTAACACTTAAAGCATAGTGCAGAAATTGAAACTTACAGAGTAACAACGCAATTTGTACAATGCTCCAGTGCGTTGTGTACACCTCCGACTCAGCAGGGGATCAAGAAAGATAAATACTCTAAAGAGATCCTAAAGAGAAGAGCGTGTGGGAGGGAGGGGATTAACCAATCGAAACAAGGTTTCGATCAATCAATC